AGACGGAATGCGCATCTTGGATTCCACTGCTAGCCACTATTCATCATTAGTATGATATTATGATTTAAAGGAAAATGGGTTTTGAATTCATGTGTACCGAATCGTTAGTTACTGAGTTGTATTACTTAGAGTTTACAAATACGGAGGATTCCAGCTGTCTTATGGATCCTAACCAGAATGCTTACACCATTGAGATCGGTAGTCAGTGACTTCATAGACTGGTGAATGTCATGGTTTGATGTCTTTTATCTTCCAATCTGATCCTCCCTCAGCCAACCTTTGGTCTTGGAGTTGACGACTAGTCGGTGTTTTTTACCATACAGTCTAGTCACATCATTTATTGAAGGTTCACAACCCCACCAATTGACCTCCTTACCGGATACCATGTACCCAACCTTTGTACTATTCACATGACGGAACTGCACCACGGTTGATATACCCTACAAAAACAAAAATGGGGAATAACTGGGCAACGTTAAACAAAGTGTAACATGATAACGTTTTACTACCTAGAATATGATTTTAAAATGTATACACCTATCCAGAAGACTAATACTGTTATTATTTCCTTTCACTTAAAAATGCTCCACTGATGACAATTTCTATTGAAATGTCACTTATAGACTGTAACACTGAACGACTTGAATTCTGACTGAAAACCACTTCCACATCACTATTGGCTGTTTTAAAGACTACTCACTCTCAAGGAGATGTACACATCACCACCCAAATGCAAATTGTTGCTTCAGGAGTGGTCTTCAACGGTGCCTCGCCGCAGCTATCAATACAGAGTGTAGTGGTTGAGTGTGCCGACCACTTTACTCACCTGGGAAGTAGGATCAGCCCTAGTGGCTCACTGGCCGATGACATCTCTGCACGAATACAAAAGGCTCGACTGGCTTTTGCCAACTTACGCCATCTATAACGCCGCACCAATATCCGATTGTCTATTAAGGGTCGCGTGTACTGCACACCACTCCAGTCTGTTCTACTATATAGCTGTGAAACATAGCCATTGAAGATGAAAGACATGAGAAGGCTTCAAGCGTTTGGCCACTGTTGCCTTCGTAGTATAGGCCGTATTCCGTGGTGTCACCAGGTGAGTCACTCAGACATCAGGTGTAGAGTTTTAGGAGTGAGAGGTAATTCATTTGATGAAGTTGTGAACCTTCATCGACTGAGATGGTTGGGACATGTATTAGGTGTGTCTAGTCACCGTCTTGCTCTTCACACAATGTTGGGTTAAGCAGGAAAAAGGCTCGAGGTGGCCGGACTAAAAAGTGGCATCAATGTATGAAGTGTTTAACCGTTGGTTAGAGCCATGTGGAGCGATGTAGGCTAGCCAGTTTGAGTTCATGGGACAAGAGAAACCAGTGGTTGGAGATTGTATATGATATGGCTGAGGAGCGATGTGAGTGGCGCAGATGTATGCACACATTATCCTCATCTTAAGGGTATACCGAACCTCACCACTTTTTTCATGCTTCCTTTATATATCTTTTGACTGGATTTTCTTTTCACCTTCCACTCCACTGCCTTTTTACTTGTTGTGATGATATGAGCTGTGGCAACTTGGACCGTTACGCAGTAATGCCTGGTCCTATGTTGATTTGGATGAATAGATGGAAATGTACACATACAATATGAAGTTTGTAAATTTCTTGCGAAACATCCATTTAAGTTGTGTCTAATACTGAATCCTAATCTGTGTGTGCATGAAAGATTGATATGTATTTCTAACCTGAGGTTAATGTCACGCTACAAATTTTCAATATTATGTAAAAGTAATTCACAGGGAGCTTTATACTAGTATTTCACCAGGAAGAGAAACGCACTCAGCCACCATGTGCACATCTGTGCAGTAGGCATTGAGCCATACATACTATATGAAGGCTAGTTGTACTACCTGGCCGCCCATTGCTCGAACCCGTGACCCACTGGTTGATAGTCACCTCCCTAAACCACTGAGCCTCAGCTCTGCAGTATTTTCCACATAATAGCAAACTTAAGGCGAAGAATAACTCAGAATAACACTAATGACACATTTGTATCCTACCAAGGAGCTCCTTAAATTGAACATTGTGGTTTTATATAAGAGGAAATTTGTGTCATTACAAAGTTTGTTGGTGATTCTGTTAACTAACTCATGATCATATTTTCATCTCTCTTGCAGGAAGCAATAATCAGTCATCTAATGTCAATGAGAAGTGATTAACAAATCATTCTGACCATATTTTAGGCGTTATACACTTTATTACTTAGGGAATGTTTTCACTTACAATCATTTTAAGGGAAGGTGGTTTTGATTATGAGTTGACATTATGCAACACTGGGGAACTATTTCGATCGTAGTTTACGATTCTTCATGAATATGAAGTGAAAATTGGTACTGATTACTTGACTAGTTGGCCATTTATTTTGAATTTACTTATCAGAGACTCATTTTTTTCTATTCTTAACGATATAATCACTATCCAGTGTTAACGGTCAACGCTTTTTCATATCGAGTTAATCACTTCAATGCAAACCATCTAATTACTCATTGGTTATCTTCTTCGAAGAAAATTACTTGAAATTCTAAATGCTATTTAAAGGATGGTAGTGATGTACTGGTAATTGACTCGATTTATATAAGTTGATCAATGAATTCTAACGTGATGACTGGATAATACAATGTTCGCTGTCATACCTAAAAGTTCTACAGTCTGTACTGTATGCAGCTATGCAGCCCACCAATAAGTATATTCTCAAACAAGAATGAGACACTTATTCGGGACGTCTTAGATTTCAAGAATTCTTCCATTTTGTAAGTCCGTAGTGTAAACTGCCTTGAAAGTCTCTCTTTAATCCTTTTTTGAAGATCATCTAGTACTTCATGCCTATTTCTTGTTCTTGTGTAACTTAAGTCAGGTATAGCATTAACAAAGTCAGCAAATAGTATTGTAGTTTTCTTCACGTATTACTGACTGAGAAACTACTGAAACCTTTTCTGCCCTCCCCCCACCCCCCACCCTTTGCCACTTACATCCAAGCTAACCAAACACAATTCTAATTTTTGTATTAATCTTTTAAACAGTTTACAGTTTTGACATAAATCTACGTCTCTAATCGCTTTTTATGTGGTTAAAATTTATGAGACTGTAATAAATCCCACTTACATTTTTATTCATTTTTCGATCAATTTTATTTCTTTTCTCTTTCATCTGGAAAGGCTAGTATCTTCGGTGGGTGGGTTGTGTGTGTGTGTGTGTGTCTATCTGTCTGTCTATCTATCCATGCTTTTAGCGATTCATTATCACTTGGACTATTTCCTCTCGAAAAAATTATTCTTCTGAATGAATGGAATTTCTTAATTTCTGGTTATACATTTTGCCAAAATCCATAAGTTATTCGATCACAATTTGTTGGATATTGACTATCTGTTCTGTTAAATTGAATACTATGAAAAGTTCTCAGTTAATATTCGATAGCGGATAATCATGTCTATAGACGGAGTATTTTACACACCGGTAAAGGTACATTTATGTCTACTGGTCATTTCTCAGATTGAACCCTTGTTACACATTCGGTTGTGAAATAGAGATTTTATGCAACAGTGCCTATCGTTAAAAGTACTATGAGAGTAGATATCCTCTCTCTCTCTCTCTCTCATATATATATATATATATATATATATATATATATATATATGATGGGTCCACTAGATGAGTAAAATCAAGTGTAGGAGGTTGTGAAATGAAAATCTGAACCGCGACTGGATTCGAACCAGTGACCACCGGTGGTCGCAGATTGAGAAGTTGCTTGCAGTTGCAGAAACCTGTTCAATTTGAGTTGTCAACCCAAACGTCCGCATTGAGGAGGAAATGGTAGTCAGTTTGAATCTACCATGGTAGGAATTAAACATCCTCTTAACATATTTACTCTTCTTTACTTGCTCTTTGACCTCACTTATCATCTCTATCTGATAATTTTGTTTTCCTTTACTGGTTTATTTCGCTTAAGTTAACCTTATTCCTATTACCATTGTGATCATTATTATTTATTTCATTAAACACTTGGTTTTCTTACAATGTCGTCTTAAGCGATTACTAACTCTTGTTCTGGATGACGCAATCGATTCAGTTGTCACCCCAGTGTCAACAATGTTATTGTCATCACTATCTTCTTACCTGAACTCCATATGATTTTGTAAACTGCACTACTATCTGAAGTCATAATTAGTTGCTTAACCTATCCCCAACCCCTTCAATTTGAACATCCATTCTTTTGCATTACCACTTGACTTGTTGTTACACCTAAATCAAAGTCTCAGTCCACGTTATATATGTTCTTTAGCATTGCTCAATGGCAATATATGATCAAGTATGTAGAGGATCCAGTTGACGAGTTATACTAAAGTTTATGAATTCATTAGATCCTGCTGTTTTGACATTCGTCGTTTGTTTTATTAACTAGTATTTTGAAATGATAGAGAATATTTGTAGCTCAGGCGAATGATTTTGATGGTATTATTTTCTCTGAGGTGGATGGCTTAATTGTGAAGCTTTCATTGTCATTCTGGACAACATTATCAGCAAAAATTTCACAAAGAAGCGAGCTATAAGGTTTTGTGCACAATTTAAATAGTAGCTTGTCCTGGTGACCTTGTGTGTGATTGGTTGTCTCTGTTGAAGTCTTATCATTGTCTTCATATTTATTTCGATTGGTTGTCCTGTTGACATGAACTTTGACCTTGTTGTTTTCGTATTGGTTGAGCCAATTTCTATGTGTCTGTTTATCGCTGATTGACCTGAATTCTCTGACATTGTTTGTATTCCCCCTATCCAGGATTTCCATATTTTTCCAGACAAATTCATGTCCACAGTTGTCTGTATGCATACACTTCACTGCTAGTTGATGTTCATATACACCGATATGTATTGGTTATACTGAATAAATGTTAAATAACATTTTAAATTCATACTATCTCCTATTGCTTTATTATTTTTGTTTTATTTCAGAGCCAACTACGAAATCTAATGAATTATCATTAAGGAATGCATTCACAGAGCCTGATTTTATCAAAACCACAATGTTGTCTTTAAATTCATCAAATGAACAATCACAGAATGGTGCAGTGAATGGATGTAATCGAACCGGTGAATATAATTCTATACCAATTCATAATAATAATATTGGAAATTATTCATTAAATCAAGATCCATTAAGTACACATTGTAATTCATCCTTAAATATTACAAATAATGGAAATTATCAAAGTGATAAAGTGAAATCTTTTGATTATAAAATTGATAATAATTCAAAAGTAATGATGATGATGACGACGACAACAACAACAACAACATCAAAATCTTCAGACAAATGTATTTTATCTAAACAACATTCAGTTATTTATTCATCACCATATAATAGTACTAGTTCTGCAAAAAGTGATGATGATAATTCATCAACTTCATATTTATCACCTGCTTCATCTTGTGTAAAAGAATTAAAAATAAATGATGAAATAAACATGGAATTATTTAATGATCAACAGAAAATAAAAATAACACAGAATATCTCTAAGTTATCTAGTTCAAATAATAATAATAAATCAACTAGTTGTATAACTGGTCCTTTGGTTTTATCATCTGATTCAGTGAAACGATATTCCAATACTGGATCATTGAATAATAATAATAATAATGGTAATGGTAAAAATCAGCATAATTGTTGTACTGCCTGTGAACAAACTAGTAATCAATTTAATAAAGTATGTAGTATAACCTATCAGAATACTTCATCCAAATTAATTGAATCACCTATATATGATAACTGTATACCAGATACAATTAGTTCTACAAATCATACAGTTAAATTGAACTCTAATAATTGTAAACAACCTCAAAGTAATCATCTCTTGTCATCTAATAATATCATACAAATAAATAACAATAATAATAATAATAATCATTCTTCACCGCATGGTGCGTCATTGACTCGTACTCCACGTAGTCCAATTGGTGTTAACACAACTTGGAGTTCTGTAGACGGTTTCACTTCATCTCGTATAGTGGTTGGTACTACTATCCATGAAGAGGAGACAGAAAATGATGAACATATACCACAAACACTAAACAATTCTAATAATCAGCATAATATCAAACATAATTCTTTGGTTACATCTGCACCATATAATAATAATAATAATAATAATAATAATAATAATAATAGTCAAAAAGTTGTCAATCAACATAATCAAACAAAAGATTCATCAAATTTATCAATTCATCTAGGTCCAAGTCTTGCAGCTGCTGTTGTACAAGCATCGGATGAAACAGGCACAACAACTGCTGATCTAATGGCAGGTTTAGCAGAAGTTCGTCGACGACCAATTGATGCAAGAAATAGACTTCGTCGTCTTGGATTAATGCAAACTCCAGAGAATGATAATATTTATGAAGATATATCATTAAGTAATAAATTTGGAAATTCTGTCTCAAATAGATTATCACTACCTGCAAGTATTAATCTTCCACCACATTTATGGCGTCGAGCTACCCAATTTCTAGAAGAACCAATGACAAGACGTGAACGTCGATGTTCATTGGTGAGTTTTGATTCATATGCTATTCCCTAGGATATACTATGCTACCTAAACTTTTATTTACCTTGGTATAGTGTAACTTCATAACATTTTTTGAAAGTATGATGTTCATTAGCTTAAGCAGCACTTGATTTTGAATAAATGAATCTCTACTTCAAAACTTGCTTCATCTAACTTAGTCTGGCTAATTGAGTAGTACTATATTCCTTCAGATGATAAGGTTGGTTCATAACCTAGTAAATAAACACATGCATTGAGTTCAGATGAATGAATTGAGAGGTTTTGATTAATCTTTAAAATTATTTTAAGATTTTTGATAAATCAAATATCCGTCTAATTCTCAACTTAATGTACATTATGTTTTCAGTCGTTTTCAAAACTAAACTCTCTTTACCGGTATTACTGACCCCGTCACATGGATACACACGTGAATTACCATAATGCTATCATGAAATTTTTATGCTTTTAAAAAAGATCGCTATTTATTCATTCGTATGAGGGAGAAAAAAAATCTTTAACCTAGTTAAAACTCATACTGGGTTTGTGTTACCTTATGTAATATGTACCTCATTGTAAGTCTTCTTGTCATTGAGAAATCAAGTTAAGACTGCAGGCTAGCATTATTTGAATCATTTTGTGATGAAAGCCAATGCAAGAAGTATTTGGTTATTAACCAATTAAATTTCGTAATCTCACTCATTATAGGTGAAATATGCTTACTGAATTGGCTTATTACTATTGTTATTTAGCTGTTTATTGTTTAACGCAAGCTAGAAGATATTTAACTCTTAACCACTTCATCATGTATCTCAACTGAACTCTATTTAAGCGTACGAATTATGTCATCAGACTATACATCCAGGTCCTACCTGTTGCCTGACTACAGTATATATGAGACAGACACAAAAATCAGCGTAGAACCTTGCACACAACTCCATCACCTCAAATTGCCACACTTCATAGTAGTATACAAAGAATAACTCGATAGAAAATGAGTGAGAGAATAAACATTCCAGATGATGGTTAGTGCTAATATTCAAGCTGTAGAAGATGTCAAAAGGTGAGTACATCTGCACCACTGTGACCGATTTTCAGCCATGTCAACAAGAGTCCTCAACCACTGATTCATATAGTCTCAGGGAATCCAGCCTGACAGTCTACATCTCCTCACATTGCTCAAACTAACATTTAGAGACTTCATCGACTGGTACTATGTCTTGGTTTGGTCACCCTGAACCATCTTCCAATATAGTACAACTTCGCCGGGCATGACACATTGAGGTAGATGATGACTTGGAATGTACAACACATGTCCAAGTCATCTCAGCTGATGAAGGTTCAAAACATAATCAATCGACTTGTCTATCTTGCCTACTGGTCTTCGCCTAACTTCAACATTGCTCATAAGGTGATTTCACCAAATGTCAGCAACGTTATGACGACATCTGTGATCCAAACCCTACAACCGCTTCATGTCTTCTACTTTCAACGGCCTTATCGTACAGCCGTATAACAGGAAATGACGGATTTCGGTGCAGTATACTTGTCCTCCAACTGGTAGTAAAATATTTTAGTGATGTCAGAAGCCAAATGGGCCTTCTATATTTCAGCTGATGCAACTTATCAAGTAAGCTACGTGATCAACGCATTAAACCACCTCACTCTCTATCCTTAAAATAGGAGTAGTTGCAGACCAGTTCTGAAGCACCATCTTACATTTGACAGGTGTGAGACGCATGCTAAACATACTCAGATTTCTGCTCAACGCATGGGTTCAGAAGACCCTGCAGTTTTTCAGCTTCACGTGGCAGGACAACATCGTCCGCATACTCTAAGTCAATAAGATGACCTCCAGGGAATAGATCAATTCCTGTAAAGTCAGACGTACTCAAGGTTATGTCCATTAGTATATTGATAACGAAGTTAAATAAAAGCGGTGATAATGGATATCTTTGGTGGACACTATTATTATTATTGTTTGTCCCTTGGGTTCCTAGTGGAACATAGGGCTTCAGTAGCACGTCTCCATTCTACTCTCTTCTCTGCAATCTTTTGAACCTGGCGCCACGACTGCCCAGAAGCTCTCATTTCTTCCTCACATGATCTCCTCCTTGTCACCCTCAGCTGGGACGTCCAACTCGTCCCTTCCCATCTGCGTTCCACTCGAGGGCTTGGCCTGACACTTGATAGCCCTGGAACGGTCTTATCAGTGCATGCCCAATCCATCTCCACCTACTTCTGCATATTTGTTGAGTGATAGGTTGTTGATTGGTTCGTTGGCAGGTCAGAGTTGCTTGTTGTTTATTCTTTGTGGCCATCTGAGCTTCAGTAACGAGCGTAGGCAGGTGATAGTAGACACCCTTGTTTTACTCCTGTCTTCACTTCAAAGGCATCACTGAGCTTTCCATTGTGAATTACTTGCCATATGGTGTCTTCATATGGTTGTTGAATGAGATTGATAAAGGCTTATGGTATTCCGTAGTGTTGAAACAACTGCCAAAATAATTCTCGGCCAACTCTGTGGAAGGCCTTTTCAAAGTCGATGAAGTTGAGGTAGAGAGTCGACTGCCACTCTATACTCTGTTCTGTGATGATGCGAAGCGTTGCAATTTTGTCTGCACATGATTTGTACTTCCTGAATCCGGCCTACCTGTTCTGGTCGTAGTTTTGAATCCAGTGCATTGTTTAGCCTCTCTAGGATAATGTTGCATAATATTTTGCTTGGGGTGGACAGGAGAGTGACTCCGCGCCAATTCTTGCAAACACTGAGGTCTCCCTTCTTCGGGAGTTTGACAGAGTGGCCCTTCTTCCAATCAGTTGGCAGGTACCTTCCTTTCCTTCTAGACCTTCTGCAATAGTGGTGTGATGTGAGCATGTCTACTGTTGTCCCTGTGTCTGTTCTCAGTGCTTCTGGCGGGATTCCATCTGGTCCTGCTGCTTTCCCACATTTCAGTAGCTTTATGGCTTTCAGGACTTCTACTTTTGTTGGAGGATTTGTGTCCACTTGTGGTTCTGTGGCTGCAGGTGGTATTGCTGGACGACTTGCAGGTGGTGGTCGATTCAAGAGCTTTTTGAAGTGGTCAGTCCATCGTTTCCTTTGTTTCTCTTCTTTGGTAATTCAATTTCCTTCATCATCTTTTATTGGTTTCATCTGTGTTGACACTAGTTGTCTTCAATTCTGGTGACGACTCTCCGTAAACCCTTATACAGCTGCATAAGTTCGAGTGGAAAGCTTTGGTCAGCATTATATACTTATTCGGTACTCCTTACATAGTCAGACACTTCTACAACACCCCACTGTCAGTAGAATTAAATGCCGCTGCTTCTTGACGTACCTGGAGACGAAGTTGATTTGGCACAAATGATTTTATCGACCTAGGAAAGTCCAATGTGAAGCTGGTTGAGGTGTGCCATTTTGAAGATTTCTGATTTGAATTTGATAATGTTTAATTTCTACTTCAAAAACTACTTATCACCTGCGATGAGGCTCCATGGAGAGTTTCGCATCCCAACAAAAGAAAAGAAGTACTACCTAGAGATAGTTATTTTCAAGAAATATTTAAGTGTATTTGTACATCCCAATGCAACTAGTTGTACATTTCTACCATCGGATATTTTGGTTGCGAAATGAAGTTGGCTTATTTTATTGTCATCAGTCTTTAGTCGACCTTCACGGCATAGTGATACTTGAAGGAATAAAGTGTTGCAGCTAATTTAACCGTGACAGATCATGATCACAAGTAAGCCTAATTAATCATCAAGCTAAAATTGTAACTGTGGTCCAATGTGCAATAATAGTTGCAGTAAGTTAACTTAAAGATTTTGTAGAATAAAATACTCAAGAAAAGTTGCCACTTTGAATTACATTCAATTTACACGTAGCTACATGCTAACAAATTGCGCGTAAAGATGTTTTGTTCGTAGTTCAAACACTAGGAAAAAAATGTCAGATTATCCTATTTGTAATCGAATAAAAGGTAGTGTTTCATAATTCTTATAACAGAGACAATTGTAATAGTCATATTATGATAATAATTGGAAGAGATAAGTTTTTTATCTTGATGACTGTGACATATTCCTCTTATGAATATGCACTAATTTCAAGCGAAAGATATAACGTAAAATATACCATCACTATAGGGGGATTCGATGGAAATTGGTTCAATTTGGCAAAAAAAGGTGTAGTAAGCAGATTAATGATAATAATCTGTCACAATCCTAAAGAAACTAGAATAAGGAGATAAATTAAAACTTTGTATTTTAAAAAAAAGAAGGAAAAAGGAATACGATAAAAACGTAATCATTAATTACACCGATTGAAATTGACTTAAAATCTAGACTTTTAAACCGTCAACTTCTGTGACTTTCACGATATTAATATACTCAGCTGAATAACACAACATTACTAAATGTGCACAGTTATTGTAAAGTCATATCAACCAAGTGGATCATTGGATTATTTGTTATCATCAGTTAAATTTATTTGTCACTATCAGTCTATTTAATACTTCTTCTAACACCTATTCAGTTTGTTTTTTTATCAAGTTCCTTGTCGAACATGTTCCCATTGAGTTAGGTTCAGGATAGTTCTCTTCCCTTAAATATCTCTTATGGTTACCAGTATCATACTTTGTGGACATATTAATCCGCACCAATCCAACCAATAAAGTTCTACACTAACCTTTTAGGTAGTCCTACAATATATTTGTGTTTATCTATAAAATACGTTGCATAAGGTGGTTCTGACTAGTAAACATACTTGTTATGCATATATGATTATGGATGTTGCAAACAATCATAAAGAAAAAGGCAGTCGATGATGATACTTCGTTATTCATGAAGCTATGGTTCATCGGTTTAAGGAGATGACTTTCAACCGGTTGGTTACTGGTTCGAACCCCGCTCCACCTACCAAGGGTTGGGGATGTAGCTCATTGCCTACTGAACGAATGTACACGAGATTACTGAGTGCATTCCTTTCCACTTCGTTATCAATAATTAAT